ACAGGTATGGGGCAGGGAGGGAGTGGGGTGCCATGGGGCAGCACACCCCGTGCTGCCACCCCTGAACCCCCTCCCCGGGGGGGTCCCGGGTGGGCACTGAGCTGTCTCCTCTGGCCCTGGTGCAGCGGCCCTGGGAAGGCCCCCCCCGATGCCGTGCCCCCCGCTGCTCTCTTTGGGCCCCCCCTGGAGTCGGCTTTCGAAGCGGAGGATTTCCCGGGTGAGGATTTGGGGGATTGGGGAGGAGGGAGTGGGATGGGGGGACCCTGGCACCCAGGGTGCTGCGTCCTCCCCCCACCCACTCAGTGCTCTGACACGGGGGTCTCCCTGCAGCCCCCCGCACCTACGTCCTCACATCCTCTTCCTCCCCCTTCTCCTCATCCTCCCCGGAGAACGTGGAGGACTCGGGTTTGGACTCGCCCTCGCACCCAGCACCCGGACCCTCCCCGGATTCCAGACCCTGGACTCCACAGCCAGGGACACCGCAGAGCCCACTCCCCAAGCGGGGTGGCTCGTCGGACCCCCCCCCGCCACCCCCCCTGCCGCCACCCACCGCCCGGGACCCCGGTGCCTGGGTGCCGCGGCCCCGCAGCCCCGCCGGCCGCCTCCCCGAGCCCCCCAGCTTCGCTGTCTTCAGCGGCCCCGGGGCCGAGGGGCTCTGGGAGGACGTGAGCTCAGCGCCCCGCGCTCGCAGCCGCTGCCCCAGCGGCCCGGCCCCCCGCGAAGCCCCCTCGCCCGACCCTTTTGGGGAGCCCCCACCGTGGGTCAGACCCCGCAGCCCCGGCGGGGACAATCCACCTCTGCCTTGTCCTTCCTCCAACTCGGCCTCTTCCTCCTCCTCCTCTCCGGCCCCCCCCAGTGGGGGGGAGTCCTCCAGCCCCTCTCCGTGGACCTGCCAAGGGTCGGCGACGAGGCTGACCGAGGGTGGCACGCTGGCGGCTCCCCCGCCACAGCCTGAGCCAGGTGAGTGGCCCCCCCATTACCTTTAACCTGCCCCCACCCCCCCATTACCCTTAACTCTGCCCCCCCCCCCCGCCCCAAGCTGGGCGCAGGGTCTCACCCAGCTGAGACCTGCCAAACTCATGGCACGGGTGAGACCCTGCTGGAGCTCCCCCTGGGTCAGGGGTCGGGGGGGACGCAGGATGACCCTGCCACGCAGGTCTCTCTTCTCACCCCCAACTCGTGGCCCACCCCCCCCAGATGCTCTCCCCACCCGGCCCAGCGCAGCCCCCCGGGAGGTCCCGCTCGTGGCCCCCCCCCGCCGTTCCCGCACGAAGAGGCCGGCGGCTGGCCCGGCGGCAGGCAGCAACATGGACCTGGTGCGTGTGAGGGGGTAGGAATGGTCCCAGGCTTCAGGACCCCCAAAGTGGGGGCCAGACACCCCCCCCCCACACACCTCCGCTGACACTATTTTGCCTCGCAGTCGCGCTCGCTGAGCCCCTCACCCTCCTGGAGCTGCGGCCCCTCGCACTCGGCGCCCGCCAGCCTGGGCGAGCGGGGCTTCTTCGCTGTCTCCCAGCCGGCGCTCGGTGGGTGCTGGGGGGCTGGGGGTGGTGTGTCTGTGTGTGTGTGTGGGGTGTCCCCATCCTGTCTCTGACCCCGTCTGTCACCCCAGGGTTGTCACGGGGTCCCAGCCCCGTGGTGCTGGGCTCGCAGGACGCTCTCCCCGTGGCCACTGCCTTCACCGAGTACGTCCACGCGTACTTCAAGGGGCGCGACGCTGACAGGTACGGGGGGGTCCCAGGAGTGGGTGGGTCAGGGAAATCCCCCCACACACACCCCAACTACTTCACCCTGCTTGGGGCATCCGCTGACCCCCGGCCTGTCCCTGGCAGCTGCCTGGTGAAGGTGACGGGGGAGCTCACCATGTCCTTCCCTGCTGGCATCGTCCGCGTCTTCAGCGGGAGCATGGCCCCCCCCGTGCTCAGCTTCCGCCTGCTCAACGCCAGCGCCATCGAGCAGTTCCTGCCCAACGCCGAGCTGCTCTACAGGTGAGGGGACATGGGGACACCGCGGCACTGGCTGGTGGGGGGTGGGCAGTGGCGGGGAGCTGGTATCGGGGTACTAGGAGTGGCTGGGGGGGGTGCAGGGACCTTGGGAGATGGTGGATGCAGTGGTGGGGAGCTGGTATTGGGGTACAGGGGGTTCCTGGGGGGTGCAGAGACATTGGAAGGTGGGGGATGTGGTGATGGGGAGCTGCTGGTGGGGTACAGGGCGTTCCTGGGGGGTGAAGGGACCCTGGGAGGTGGGGGATGCGGTGACGGGGAGCTGGTGTTGGGATACAGGAGGGGCATGGGCACCCTGGGAGGTGGTAGATGCAGTGATGGGGAGCTGGTATTGGGGTGCAGGGGGCTCCTGGGGGTGCAGGGACATTGGGAGGTGGGGGATGCAGTGATGGGGAGCTGGTATTGGGGTACAGGGGGCTCCTGGAGGTACAGGGACATTGAGAGGTGGGGGATGCAGTGATGGGGAGCTGTATATCAGGGTACCTGGTTTCCTGTGGATGCCTGCACATCCTGGGGAGCTGGTCGATGCCACGATGGGGAGCTGGGTACCGGGGTACAGGGTGTTCCTGGGGTTCCCAGGGGGCCTGGATTATCCTTGGGTGCAGCAAAGGCGGGGGGGGCGTATCCGGGGTGCCAGGTTCCCTGGGATGCCCAGGCACCGCTGCGGCTCTGACCCCGTCCCCGCAGCGACCCATCCCAGAGCGACCCCAGCACCAAGGACTTCTGGCTGAATATGGCAGCGCTGACCGGGCACCTGCAGAAACAAGCGGAGCAGAGCCCGGCCGCCTCTTACTACAACGTGGCTCTGCTCAAGTACCAGGTGAACCCCACGGGGAGAGGGTAAAGCTGGGACCCCCGCGTCTTCCCCCCCACCTCCCGAGGAGAGGGGCCTGGGAGGGTCTCGGTGCCCATCCCAAACCCCTCTGTGGTGACCCCAGTTCTCGCGGCTGGGCCCCGGCTCGGCGCCGCTGCGGTTGTGCGTGCGGTGGGACTGTTCGCCGGGCGCCACGCGGGTCAGCGTCGAGTACGGTTACAACGCCGGCGCCCTGGCCCTGCCCGTGCCCCTCGCCAACGTCCACGTCCTGCTGCCCGTGGACGAGCCCGTCGCCAACCTGCGGCTGCAGCCCGCGGCCAGCTGGTAAGGGGGCTGGGGGGGGTGGGGTGGGGGGGATGGATGTGTGTGTGTGCAGAAGCGGGGGGTATGCAAGACCTCAGGGGTCCCCAACGCACCTGTCAGGGTGGGAGGGGTGGGGGGGCGGGATTCTGAACTGGGGAAACTGGGCGTGTGGATGGGGCGAGGGAGGTGGGGGGACAGTGTGGAGCGTGGCGGGGGTTTGGGGACATGCCCCCTGTCCCCGCAGGAATTTGGAGGAGAAGAGGCTGCTCTGGAGGCTGCTGGATGTCCCCGGTGCCCCGGGGCAGGGAGGTGAGGATGTATCCGCGGGCAAAGGACCAGGGTCTGGGCTTGGCCCCTGCAGACACACACACCCCACACCCCATACCCCCCCCCCAATAAAACCCTTCTTTTGTGTCCCCCCCGCCCAGGCTGCGGCCGGCTCTCGGCCAGCTGGGAGCCGCTCTGTGGGCCCAGTAAGCCCAGCCCCGTGGCAGCCCAGTTCAGCAGCGAGGGCAGCACGCTGTCGGGCGTTGAGGTGGAGCTGGCGAGCGCCGGGTACCGCATGTCACTGGTCAAGAAGAGGTTTGCTACAGGTACGGCTGGGGGGGGCCCAAGGCGGGGGCAAGGGGGTCCCTTCCCCACGGCCCTTGGGAGTCTGTGGGGTCCCCTCCCCATCCCCTGAGGCCCTGGGGTGCATGGGCTTCCCTTCCTTGGGGTGCACAGGGGTCCCCTCCCTGCTCACTGTGGCCCTGGGGGGTACAAGGTCCCTTTCCTGGGGTGCATGGGGTCCCCTCCCTGCTCCCCATGGCTCTGAGGTGTACACGGTCCTTTTCCTGGGGTGCATGGGGGTCCCTTCCCTGCTCCCTGTGCCCCTGGGGGGTACAAGGTCCCTTTCCTGGGATGCTCGGGGGTCCCCTCCCTGTTCCCCGTGGCCCTGGGGTGCATGGGGTCCCTTCCTTGGGGTGCATGGGTGTCCCCTCCCTGTTCCCTGTGGCCCTGGGGGGTACAAGGTCCCTTTCCTGCGGTGCATGGGGTCCCCTCCCTGTTCCCCATGGCTCTGAGGTGTACACGGTCCCTTTCCTGGGGTGCATGGGGGTCCCTTCCCTGCTCCCTGTGCCCCTGGGGGGTACAAGGTCCCTTTCCTGGGATGCTCGGGGGTCCCCTCCCTGTTCCCCGTGGCCCTGGGTTGCATGGGGTCCCTTCCTTGGGGTGCATGGGTGTCCCCTCCCCGTTCCCTGTGGCCCTGGGGGGTACAAGGTCCCTTTCCTGTGGTGCACGGGGGTCACCTCCCTGCTCCCCATGGCCCCAGGGTGTACGGGGTCCTCTCCCTACCACCCCAAGCTCCATTCCCCCCTCACTGGGTGATGCCCTCCGGCAATGCTCAGCCCAGGGAGGGTGTGGGTAGCCCAGTTTGGGGCCAGCATCGAGCCATTGCATTGGGCAATGACCATCCTCACGCCGGGCATGTGCCCCCCCATCCTCTCAGCTCCCCCTCACCATCTTTCCTCCACAGGGATATACCTGGCAGGGTCCTGAGCCACCTCCCGCCAGACCCTCCGAGCCCCCCCCCGGGCTTCCCCCCTTGGTTGTGTGAACTTGAAACACTGGATGGAGGCCGGATGGGGAGGGGGTGCTGCTGGGTGGGAGCCCCCCCTCCTCCTCTCCCTCCGGCCCCCCACTCCGTGGCTGTCACCGCGTTGTCTCCTGCTGCCCGGCGGTCGGTCCCTTCCGCCCTCCCCTGTGCTGTGAAGGGAGCAGGAGCTGCTCTTTTATTAAACACTTTATTTTCTAATAACCCCCCCGCCGGCTCCCGCCTGCCTCCTGCCACGACGCCCATCCCCAGGGCCTCCAGGCTGCTCCATGGAAACGGGGCTCAGCCGATGTGCTGTGGCTCCCGGGGGGGCTCCGGTGCTGCGGGGCCGGGGGAAACCGAGGCAGGGAGGTGGCAACGCTTCACTGAGCCCTTTTCTGGCACCCGTGGGTGCCACTGCCCCACCTGTGACGGGCGGCCGGGCAAAGGGGTGGGCGGACGGACAGACAGACAGGTGGACAGATCCCTGTGCTGGGGGGCTGCGGCACTCCCGGCTCAGGGAGAGGCCCAGTGTGAGGATGGCCCCGAGCTGGCTCTGCAACAAGGTATGGGGGGGCTGAGGGGGGTCTCTTGGGGGGGGCTGAGGGCTTTTTTTGTGGTGCGCCGGCGCTCCTGGGGATGCTGGGGTGGTGCCACCTCCTCGGGCAAGGGCTGGCCGGATCTGTCCCCATCTGGTTGGGCTCCGCGCGGTGCTGGTGGATGAGCGGCGCCCGGGCTCTTACCGGGGTCCCCATATGCTGCCCGGGGGACCCCTGTCCCGGTGCTTCACCTCTGAGAGCGACCACCCTGCCGCCCCCTCCCCGTGCCTCAAGCCAGCGGTAAGTCCTAGGGTAACCCCCCCCCCCCCCCCCCCCCAACACCAGCGGGTCCTGGGGGGGCTGCACACCCTTGCTGACCCCAGGTTTTGGGGTTGCACTCTGTGTTTGCTCTCCTAAAGGAGAACGGCCCCATCCCGGAACCAGCAGTTTATTGCTCTCTTTTGGGGTCTGCTGCCGGAGGAGTTGGACTCTGCCCTGCACCCAAGGGTGCCCTGCCCAGCCTGGCAGCAAACCGGTTACCTGTGGCACAGTGTAACTGGTGTGGGGAGATCTCCCCACTGTGTACTGGGAGCTCTGTGGTTTGGCTCTGCAGGGAAGGATGCCGTGCCCCGGCCCGGGGCACCTCTCCGGGTGGGGGTTCCCTGGGGGCTGCAGGGATGACCGGTTCCGAATCCCACTCCCCATTTCTTGCAGAGCATGACTCCGCGCTGCTACAGGCTGGAACTGGGGGGTCTGGTCGCCGTGGGGCTCCTGGGGCTCTGCTACCTGCTCCACCACGATGACCAGTTGTTGCCCAGCGTGGCCCCCGAGCACAGCACCCCCCCCAGCCCCCAGGCAGCCCCCAGGCTCCCCCTGCCCCGGGCTCTGCCCACCCCTGCCCCATGCGTGGCCAACGCCTCGGTGCACAACATCTCCGGTTTCGCCAAACTTCCCGGCCACGTGCAGGATTTCCTGCGGTACCAACACTGCCGGTCCTTCCCGGTGCTGCTCGGCGTTCCCGGCAAGTGCGGGGGGCCCGAGGGGTCCCCCAACATCTTCCTCCTCTTGGCCATTAAGTCGTCACCGGTGAACTACGAGCGGCGGGAGGTGATCCGCAAGACCTGGGGGCAGGAGAGGAGCTTTGAAGGAGCCTTCATCCGCCGAGTCTTCCTTGTGGGGGTGGCCCCCGGCACCCGGGATGCCAAGAAGCTCAATCAGCTGCTGCGGCTGGAGCAGCGGGAGCACGGGGACGTGCTGCAGTGGGACTTCAGGGACACCTTCTTCAACCTGACGCTGAAGCAAGTGCTCTTCCACGCCTGGCTGGAGCAGCACTGCCCCGGCGTCCGCTTCGTCTTCAACGGGGACGACGACGTCTTCGTCAACACGGACAACGTCGTCCGCTTCGCGCTGGCTGCCCAGGGTTCCGGGGAGCAGCACCTCATGGTGGGGCAGCTCTTTGTCAACACCAGCCCCGTCCGGCTCCAGCGCAGCAAGTACTTCGTGCCCACCCAGCTCCTGGCCTCCGAGCGGTACCCACCCTACTGCGCCGGCGGCGGGATGCTCATGTCCGGCTTCACCGCCCGCCTCATCTCCCAGGAATCGCGGGACGTCGAGCTCTTCCCCATCGACGACGTCTACTTGGGCATGTGCTTGGAGAAAGCCGGGCTGCTGCCCGCTTCCCACGCCGGCATCCGGACCGTGGGCGTGGGCGTGCCGGCCAACACTGACCCCTTCGATCCCTGCTACTACCGGGAGCTGCTGCTGGTGCACCGCTTCGTGCCCTACGAGACGGTGGTGATGTGGCAAGCCATCCACGAGCCCCGGCTGCTCTGCGGCAAGAGGGTGAGCATCTTCTAGGGCAGCCGAGAAAGGACCAAGAGCCGGGGTGTGGGGGGAAAAACATCGGTGCAACCCGAGGGCCGCTCGGGCTGCGGCTCTCCCCGCATCCCTGGTAGGTGGCAGCTGCAGGGCTGAGCCCTGGGGACGGCTGAGTGCCACCGTCTCGCATCCTGTTTCTGCCTGGTTTTACCCCAAATCTGTCCTCCCGTGGCCAGCGGAGCCCTGAGGCACCAGAGGGAGAATAAACGAATCTGTGTTGTTAATGAGGACATGGGGTCTGGAGCCTTCCTGGGGGCTGGGGGTGTGGGAGGGTACAGGGAGGATAGGGAACCCCTGACCTCACTGGGGTGGGTGTTCATTGCCCTGGGGGTCCCTCTGCGGAGCCCCTGAGGTGTCTGCGAGGTTGGTGGTGACCCTCGGTGGAGGCAGCCTTGGCCCCAGCGGGATGCTCGGTCCCGGGAATGGGCCGTGCTGTGCCAGGAGGGCGGCAGCAGCGGGCGAGGAGCAAAACCCAGCGGGACAGAGCCGGGGACGCAGCCGGCCTTGGGGTGCTGTGCCGTGCGGTGCTGGGTGCTGGCACCCCTCCCCGCTCTCCCCCAGCAGCTCCACAGTGACCGGACCTGTGCCGTTCCTCTCGCCTCACCCCAGCTGGCAAATTTACCAAACTTTACTAGAAAAAGGCCCAATCCTGCCACGGCTGGGGCAGCAACAGGCAGGAGGGGAGTAAAAGACAAGCGGCATCGCACAGGGTGGGGGGTCTGCTGGCCGTGGGGAAGGGGGAAGCAGAGTGGCATTGCATGGTGGGAGGGGGGACAATGGGGGCTGCACCCCTCCTCCTGGAGCTGCACCCTTCCGCTGGCCCCGCGGCTGTTAAAGCACATCGAAGCGTTGCCGTTGGCCGTGTGTCCGTCTGTCGGTGGCCGGGGTCCCAGCCGGGATGGGGGCTACCCCCGGGCTTTGCTCCGGCTGTCCCGCAGCGCCTCGATCTTGGGGGCCAGCTCCCCAAAAGTGGGTCTGGCACTGGGGGTGAAGGCCCAGCAGCTCAGCATCAGCGTGTAGACCTGGGGACAAGGGACGGGGCCGTCAGGGGAGCGGGGTGGCCCTCAGGACCCCCTCACTAGCCCCTGGCAGGGCTCTCACCTCCACGGGGCAGCCAGCCGGCACCGGGAGACGCCGGTTGTCCTTCAGGAGCTCCAGCAAGTGGCAGATGATCTGCGCCATCTTCTCAGTGCCCATCATGCGGAGGAACTCCTGTGGGCACGGGGACAGCGTCGCCGTGAGGCCACCACAGCCGGATCCCCCCCACTCATCCCGAAGGTAACGGGTCCAGGGTGGGGGCAGCAGGACCTGGGCTGGGGGGGAAGGTTCTCACCTCCGAGGGGCTCTTGCTCTTGTTGCTGTAGGTGAAGAGCTCGTAGAGGAGGACCCCGAAGCTCCAGATGTCGGATGCCCGGGAGAAGACGTTGTCAGCCAGGGACTCGGGCGCGTACCTGCAGGAGGGAGGATGCTGAGCACCTGATCCAGCTGGGCTGGCAGCCCCATGTCCCCTTGGTGCCACCCTCACCAGAAGACGGGGCTCTGGCCGGGCTCCCGCACCACGTAATAATCCTTGTCCTGCGGCAGCAGCTTGGCCAGCCCGAAGTCCCCGATCTTGACGTGGGTCTCGCTCTCGACCAGGATGTTCCTGCTGGCCAGGTCCCGGTGCACGCAGCGCTGCGCTCCCAGGTACTCCATGCCCTGTGCAGGATGCAGCCGCTCGCTGGGGCCAGCAGCATCCCCCGGGGGGGCTCATCCCAGCCTGACCACAACCCCCCCGGCATCACTCCGTCCCCATCTATCCCCACCCCAGGAGAGCGGGACCGCCCCCCGGCTTTGCTGCCAGCCCCCTCACCTTGCAGATCTGCCAGGCGTACAGGAGCAGGGTCTTGTGGTCCAAGCGGGGCTGGTTCTTCTGCAGGTAGTCCCGCAGGCAGCCGTTGGGCAAGTACTCCATCACCAGCCGTAGCCCGCGCCGCCCTGCATGCACAGCCATCACCCGCTGCCCACTCCCTGCCCCACGCCATGCCATGGGGAGCCCTGCCCCACGCCGTGCTCACCCCGGCTGTAGCACACGCCCCGGTACCGGACGATGAAGTCGTGCTGCAGGGAGTGCAGGATCTGGATCTCCCTCTCGAAATCCTGCAGTTCCTTGGCTGAATCCTGCTGCAGCTTCTTCACCGCCACCAGCTCGCCCGTGCTGTCACCCAGCGGGTCGTAGCGGCACAGCTCCACGCTCCCAAAGTTGCCCTGAATCAGGGAGAGCCAATTGTGAGGTGCTGTGTGTCCCCAGCACCCAGTCGTCCCCCCCCCCAAATCCTATGCACAGGTGAGGCTGCAGGCACAAACCACACGTGTGATTCTCAGCTTTGGAAGGCAAAGCATCCCCCCAGGAGCCCCAGATACAGGAAAGGGGGGGGGTGCAAAAACTCATGCACTGAATCTTTGGGGGACAGGGCCCCCCCTCACCTTGCCCAGCAGTGAGATGTACTTGAGGTGCCGCTCCTCGAAGTGCGTGGGGTCCTGGCACATGGCGAGGGGCTCGTAGCCCCAGAAGTTGTCCCGGAGCATCACGCCGGTGAGCGACAGGTCTGAGAGCAGCTCATAATCTGGGGGGGCGAGAGGCGGTGAGGGCACTGTGGGGGTCTGCAGCCTGGCTGTGTGTGTGTGTGTGTGTGTCCCCCCATCCTCCCGGGGCTCACCCGAGGTGATGAGGCTGTTGAGGTCCCGGATGAGGGCGCGGAAGCAGGGCCGCCGGCGGGGCTGGTAGTCCATGCACTGCGCGATGAGCGTGGCCAGCTCCGTCCACTTCGGCGCGGGGAGCTGGAGGTTGCTCTGGTAGAAATCCAGCTTCTGCAGGGGAGGGAGAGGGTGCTGGGGCCGGCTGCGGGGTGCCCAGCCCCGTGCAGCACCTGACCAGCCCCCATGCACCTCGCTGGGTGGCACAAACCCCTTGCTCTGAGCATCACCCGTGGGATTTTAGTTTGGGGAGGGGGGGGGGTTGGTTACTGCCTGACCCCGCAGCCACCCCCACCACACACTGGGGCTCTGGACCCCTGCGAAACCCCGGCTCTGGGTGCCATGGGTGCCCATCTCCACTGAGTGATGCCCCTTTTCCCAACACGACCTGGGTCGGCAGAGCCTCTGGCCAGCCGAGAAATCCCACGGTGGGGTGGGTGGTACGGGGTCTTCTCCGGGAAATGGGGGGTGAGGAGAGCCTGGGATGCAGCAAGATGGGGCAGGAGGGTTGGGGTGCAATGGGGCAGGGTGAGAGGGAAAGGGCAGGAGGGTCGGGGTGCAGCAGGAAGATCGGGGTGCAGTGGGACGGGACAGCCTCACCTTCTGGGGCTCCAGCAGGCTGATGGGCATGTGGCCACCACTGAAGATCTCCCAGAGGGTTGCCCCGAAGCTCCACTTGTCAGCCGGCAGCGCCAGGCTCTTGGGGTCACTGAGGCATTCGGGGGCCACCCAGGGGATGCGCTCCACCAGCACTGGGGAGAGAGGGACAGCCCCGCTCAGCACCCGCCGGGGGAGCCCTGCCACCCCCCCAGCACGCTGGATTAACCCCGGAGACTTACTGTCCTTGGCCAGGATGGTGACACTGACTCCAGGGTCGTTGAGCTTGATGAAGGGGGGGCTGCCGCTGGCCATGTCCCCCTCCCGGGTCAGCAGCACTTTCTTGGCCGAGACGTTGCCGTGGGTGATTTTCTTGTCCTCCTGGGGGGTGCGAGGGGAGAGGGACCAGGACTGTTAGCACAGCCCCAGCCCGTGGGGCAGCCCCCCTACACGGCACCGAGGGGGTGAACCTACGGAGATGCGTGGGGCTGTGGGGCTGTGGATGTGTGGGAGCCGTGGGATGTGGATTGGGGGCGGGGGGAGGCTGTGGGGATGCGTGGGGGGTCTGTGGGACATGGATGGCAGGGGGGAAGATGTGGGATATGGATGGAGGGGGGGAGGAGGTGGGATATGGATGCTTGGGAACTGTGGGACATGGATGTGTGGGGTCTGTGGGACATGATAGTGCGGGGTCTGTGGGACATGGATGTGGGTGCAGAGGACATGGGACATGGATGTGTGGGGTCTGTGGGTCATGGATGTGTGGGGTCTGTGGGACATGATTGTGTGGGGTCTGTGGGACATGAATGTGTGGGGTCTGTGGGACATGGCTGCGTGGGGCCCGTGGGATGCAGCGGGACACACGGACCCCGGGACGCCGACGCTCGGCTCACCAGGTAGTTGAGGGCGTAAGCCAACTGCTTGGCCACCTGCAGCTTCCAGCTCGTTGTCACCTTGCCCTCCCCTTGGTTCTTCTTCAGGTAGAGGTCCAGGGGCCCAAACCTGACGTACTCCTGCACCATGACACCTACGGGGACACACACACACACACACACGTGGCACGGGTAGGTCCGGCGTGTGCCCTTGCGGCAGCGTGGCCGTGGCACGGCGGTGCCCGGCGAGGGGGACGGGCACTCACTGTCCTTGCCGAGGCTGACGCCGTGCAGCAGCACCAGATGCTTGTGGGAGAGCTGGCTCATGATGCTGGCTGCCTCCAGGAAGGACTGGGAGTGGGGAGAGGCTGGCTCAGGGGCAGTGGGGACCCCCCCCCCCCCCCCCCAAACCCCAATCCCAGCTTGGGGGGCTGCCGCCGCCTCACCTCAGAGCAGTTGTGGTGGCTGCTGTCCAACACCTTGAGCACCACCTCGGTCTGGTAGTCACCGTCCTCCTCCTGGTCCCGCTTGACGCCCTTGTAGATGTGGGTGAAGGAGCCCTGGCCCAGGCTCTCGCCCTGGCACAAGAGAGGGATGCTGGGGGGGGGGGGCGGTCCATGCCCCCACACCCTGGCCCCCCTGTTCCCCCTCCCGCCCTGTACCTGCATGAGGCTCTGGGGGTCGATCTTGTGGAACATCATCTGGTTGAGGCTGCGGCGGGGGGCGGGGGGGGAACCGGGGGGCCGGGGGCAGCCGTTCCGCACGATCAGCAGGTTGGATTTTTCTGGGGAGGTTGGCGGGGGGGGGGGGCAGCCGTGAGGGGCGGCTGAAGGGGGGGAGGCTGTGCCCTTGCAGTGACCTCGCACAGCCTGCTCCCTGATGTCACAGCCTGCTCCCTGATGTCACGCAGCTCATTCTCTGGCATTGCACAGCCCGCTCTGTGATGCTATGCAGCCTGCTCTGTGACGTCACACAGCCTACTCTACGACGTAGCCTGCCATGTGACCTTATACAGCCCGCTCTGT